CAGAACTGGGCCTCATGAGGGGCACTGTGGGCCTCAGACTTTGAGTCCTCCATGGGTTGTAAGATCCAGTACCAGTGCCTGGCTCTGTGGTGAGTGTAATACCAAATATAGTACTTGCAGCAGCCCTGTCAGATGTACTGTTATTCATCTTATTCTGTTGATTGCATACCAACATTGGTGCAGTTCATAGGAGCTGTAATAGTGGGGCCACTAGGTCCTGAGAGAGTGTAGATGGTTTACAGACTGTCAGGAGCTCATCAGACACACGCATCAGGATCATGTGGTCGGTAAACTGCAGGAGCTCCATGCTTTCCCAAGCCCAGACAGGAAGCCAGGTAGTAGTAGGAGAGGAGGCAGGTATATGGTCCAGGCACTTTTCCCTGCCTGCAGGGAACAGCCTGAGATGTCTCAAAGCCTAGTCCAAAGGATACTTTCTATAAAGAGATTCCCCAATCCCTGCCAATCAGAATTCATCTTTTTTTACTCCTGTGATATCAAAACACTTACTGATTGACAGGTTGATACTAGGAAGCTCGAGAGAGAAACACAAGATTTGGGATCGTAACAATTTCAAACTGGATCCAACCCTCCATAATTGTGTGAGCTTGGGAACCCTGCCGCACCTCTGATTCTGCCCCTTAAAATATAATGCTGCTTACTGTGATAACATCATAGTCCCATTGTGGGTGATAACTTTTTTTTAAAATGTATTTTGTTAATACGGTTCTTGCACATAGGTTAATGCTTATTTACACCCTGCCTCAGTTTACATTTCCTGGAAGCGTCTAATTTCAACTCTGGATATTTCTTTGAGAATTGCATTGTCTCTAAATTTGCATTGTATCTCTAAATAAAATGCTTATAGTAACTACTGCTTTTTGGTTTAGAGTTATGGTCAATATCTAAGGACTTTCCAGTACCGAAGATGAGGAATTAGTTGTCTCTTCACCCCCTGCCTCCAGATAATACACTTCTTTTTTTTCTTCCCTTATTCTCCCAGTGAAATTATATCATAATTTTTGGTTAAATTAATATGCAGTGTATGTATTAAAATCATTATAAAATCACAGTTTGCTTGAGCCAATCATTGTGGCTATGATTACATTTATTTTCTAGTATAACTATTTTTCCTCAGAGTTAACACTATTTATTGTTTTTCCCTAGTTGTTGAATTTTTCATGTAACCATCAGTTTCCTCCCCAAACCTTCCAGAAGAAGTATAAATTGCTGTCCTTACATTCAGAAACCGTGGTTTTTATGGTCCATGTTTTTAGAAGTGCGTGCTCAGAAACATTTGCCTTGCTGCTTGTAACTAAATTAGCGACTGTTGAACTGCAATTTTCCTTCACTCTCGGGTTCTGTCAACAAACCTCTGACACTGAGTGTACTACAATTCAGTTCAATTCTGACCTGACCTACTCTGTGTTGGCATCAAACCTTTTGAGATGAAGGCACGGTTCCCAGCAGGGTGCTCTTGCTTCAGACTCAAAACAGGGTCTTAAGGCTGTCTGCATATGTATCTGGCTGGCTGCAAATTTGAGGCCTCTTCAAACCCCAGGATGGATAATTCACTGAAACAACTCACACAACTCAAGAAGTTGTTATACTGACAAGGATCATTTTGTTACAAAGGGTACAAATTAGCAGCCAGATGAAGAGTACATAGGGCCTGGTGGAGGAAGGGCCAGAGCCCAGGAGTTATGCTGTTACTCTCCTGGTATACTGCGCCACCCTTCCAGACAGGAAGCTCTCCTAAGAGCTGACATAAAAGCAGAGCTAAAAATATAAGCAGGGAATAAAGGGATTTGAAGAAACAGACAATACAGGGAGCAGATGAAAACTTCTGAAACTTTAAAAAAAAAAAAACTTCAGAATTTAGTTCCCAAGCTTCATGGTGTAGAGTTTTTATTGAAATCCCCTTTTGTGGCTAGAATTGATTAGATTATTGGCAACATTATTGAGCTCCATCTCCAGCACTCCCTCACCTCCCTGAAGGTTGAGCCAAAAGTTCCGGCCCTTTAACGTCCCCCAGGGTTTTCCTCCTGACCAGCACCCATCCTGAAGCTATTCAGGGTAACCTGTGCCACCAGTTACTTTTTTTTAGCATAATGAAGACATTCCTATCAGATAATTCCAAGCATTTTTGAAGCTTGTGTCATGTCACGAACCTGGGACAAAGGGAAAAAAATATGTATTTTGTACTTTAATATACCACAACTCAAGCAGAGAATTCCTGTTGCTTTTTCCCAGTTATGTCCTTTTCAGGGTCCTGTGTTGTTTGCTTTCTAGATTTATGTTCTCATTCTGGTGTATGGTGCCCATCAGTAGTGGTCTGAGGAAGGGAGCATAGAAGAATATGGTTTCTAGATTTAAAAAAAAAGTTTGAATTTACAGTATTGTGTTGGTTTCAGGTGATTAACACTGTGCAAACTTTGTGTTAGCAAAGTGATTCAGTTATACACAAATGTATATTTACTGTTTTTCAGATTCTTTTCCCATGTAGGTTATTACAGAATATTGAGGAGCGTTCTGTGTGCTTTATAGTAAGTCCTTGTTGATTATGTTTTATGTATAGTAGTGTGTATGTGTTCGTTCCAGACTCCCAATCCAGCCCTCTCCCCACCCAACATTCCCCTTTCATAACCATAAGTTTGTTTTGAAATCTGTAAGCCAGGTCTTATGTGGCTTTATTTTTTCCCTTCTGCTTGATGGATTGTAGTATATGCAACCAAGCAAAAAATTTTTCCCTCTGAATTTTGTTGTTTCATTTTCTATCTTTCAGTGTTCCAATTTCCAAGAACTGTCTTGCACTCTGATTGTTGCTTGCTGTTAGTAACTGCATCCTGATAAACCTAGCTCTTTTTACATTGATGCAATAGCTTCTCTTACATTTCTGAAATTTTTTTTTGAAGTTTTGGATGTTTTTATCTGCTCCCGGTATTGTCTATTTCTTCAGAGCTCCTTTATTACTTGCTTATATTTTTGACCCTGTTTTTTATATTAGAAGCTTTCTTATAATGCTGTGTGACTTTGATTGGGGTTGCATGTCTGTATGTGAGTGTATGAGAGTCTCAGAGAGATTGGTGGTGTAGGCTTCCCTACAGCACGGTCTGGCTCAGAAGGTATTATTTTGGAGATGTGAGTATGATTAGATCTTTTTTCTCAGGCTGATGAGTTTGGCCAGAAAAAAATTTTCTAGTCTGCCACCTAGGCAGCCTGAGCCAGGCAGTCAGCGTTCTGAGAGCTGAGAGGGGTTAAGGGCTGGAGGAGTCAGTTATTCTTAAACCTACCTCTGTTTGTAGCGTATCATTTCCACTGTAGCTCTGCATTGTCTGGCATACAGAATCCTTCTGGGCTGTCTTCTCCAGAGACTAAGATTCTAGTATCCCGCCAGGGCAGGGAGAAGCAGCTGCCAGTCCTACATATGAGTGTGTTGGGGCATCTAAGTGTTTCTTATAAACACTTGATGCCAGTCCTCCCATTTAACCTCGTCTACACTTGTGCTTTCATGGTTACCTGCTCCTTCCCACTTGTGAGCTGTTCTGGGCTCCATCTCAGCCTCCTCTGTGTGGACTTAGATCTGTATTTGGAGAACTCTGTCAGTCATCATTTCTCATCCATTTATTTTTCAGATCAAGTTATTGTTTGTCTCCTCTCATGTTTGTTTTGGTAAGATTGAATTTATTCCTTAACACATTACTTATTGCACTTATTTTTAATTTTGGGAAGAAGAGGATATATGCTTGTGTCCAAATCATGTTTTTGTTTTTAAGTTTCATGCTTATTTAATTATTATTTTTTTAGTTTGCCTTAGTTTATTTACTTATTGGAATATAATTGCTTTACAATATTGTTAGTTTCTGCAGCACAATGAAGTGAATCAGCTATATGCGTACATACATCGCCCCCTTCTTAGACCTTTGACCCCACCCCTCATTCCATCCTTCTAGGTCACCACAGAGCACTGGGCTGAGCTTCCTGGGCTTTACAGCAGATTCCCACTAGCTATATGTTTTACACATGGTAGCATATATATGTCAATTCCAATCTCCCAAGCTACCCCATCCTCCCTTTGCTTATCTGTGTCCACATCCCTGTTCTCTGCGTCAGTGTCTCTATTCCTGCCTTGGAAATAGGTTCGTCTATACCATTCTTCTAGTTTCTACATATATGAGTTAATATACAATATTTGTTTTTCTGACTTCACTCTGTATGAGATTCTAGGTACATCTACATCTCTACAAATAACCCTATGTCATTTCTTTTAGTATCTGAGTAATAGTCCATTGTATATATGTACCTTCTCTTCTTTATCCATTCATCTGTCATTGAACATTTAGGTTTTTTCCATGTCCTGGCTATTGTAAATAGTACATTTACTGTTTTCTCAGTTCTCTGAGACTGTCTTTAATTCTTTTTTTTTTTTTTCTTATTCTGCTCCTTGGCAATTACTTCCACCATTCCATTTTTCAGCTAACTTATTTGTTCTCCTGCCTCAGTTATTCTGCTATTGATTCCTTCTAGTGTATTTTTCATTTCATTTATTGTGTTGTTCATCTGTGTTTGTTCTTTAGTTCTTCTGGATCCCTGTTTAACATTACTTTTATTTTTTCGATTCGTGCCTCCGTTCTATTTCTGAGATTTTGGATCATCTTTAGTATCATTACTCAATTCTTTTTGAGGTAGGTTCCCTATTTCTTCTGCATTTATTTGGTGCTGTAGGTTTTTACCTTGCTTCTTCATCTGTCCTGTATTATCCTGCTCCCCAGGTAGTGCTAGTGGTAAAGAATCTGCCTGCCCATACAGGAGCCACAGGAGACACGGGTTCAGTCACTGGGTTGGGAGGATGCCCTGGAGGAGGAACTGGCAACTCACTCCAGTATTACTCCCTAGGAAATTCCGTGGACAGAGTTAACCTGGCAGGCTCCAGTCCATGAGGTGGCAGGAATGAGTAAGCACAATACAAGTTTTTGATGGGTGGAGCTGTGTTCCTGTCTTACTGGTTGTTTGGCCAGAGATTTCCAGCACTGGAGTTTGCAGGCAGTTGGATGAAGCTGGGTCTTTATATTGAGATATAGAACTTCAGGAGACCTCACTCTGATTAATATGCCCAGGAGTCTGAGGTTGTCTGTTAGTCCAGCCATTTGGACTACATGATGCTACCACAAGAGCTCAGACCCCACCTCTGGCTTATGATCCAAGATCTGCAAGCTGTGTGACGAAACAAAAACAAGAAAAGAAATAAAAATGGAGAACAATAACAAAGAATAAAAAATAAAATAAATTTAGAAAACTAATGATATATTCGGGGGAAAAAAAAAAAGAAACAACCATCAGAGGGTAAAACAGAACCCCAATAGCAAAAAAAGTCTTGACTGGGCAGGGGAGGGAGCTCAGGCAGAGGTGCAGTTTAGACTGAGGCAGGGTCTAGGCTCAGGACCCAGGCAGCCAGGAAAGGCCCTAGGGACAGGGCTTAAGTAGAGATGGGGTTTGCTCTGTACACACCCTCTGCATCTGGCAAAGGCCCTAGGGGTGTGGGGGTAGAGGATAGGCTCAGCCTGGCCTGGAGGGGCCCCAGAGTGCCTGCCTTGGAGCACAGAGGATCAGGACCCCTAACAAGCTCACTGGTGTCTGGCTGGGTGGGAGAAATGCTAACGGCACTCCCCCTGATCCTCCAGCCCCTGAAAGTCCCTCCCTGCCTGGCTCTGCTCTTCCTAACCCTCTCTTGTGCCCCTGGGCCCACGTGGGTGGAAAGTGCCTTGGAGGGTGGAGGACCAGGCCCAGGACCCCAGTAGGCTTCTCAGGGGCCAAGTGTGTGGGGGAGATGCTAGCCATGTTCCCCTGTGATACACCAAACCCCCAAGGGTCCCTTCCTGTCCTCACTGATTCCCTTGAGGTGAGTGTGCCTGTCCAGGCATGGGAACCCCTTTCCTCCCCTAGCTGCCCCTAGGGGGCACTGGCCCCTCTTCCTCCATCTCAGCCCCTCTCTTCCTCCATGTCCTACCTGGTCACTCAGGGATTCCGGAAAGGCTTCATACTGAATGATTCCAGCCATATGACATTCTGGAGAAGGCAGACCGTGGGGATAGTAAGATCAGTGATTACCAAGGGCTGGGGAAGGGAGTGATTAATAGGCAGAACACAGAGAATTTTGAAGACAGGGAAACTACTCTAAATGATACTTAAATGATAAGATATGTGTCATTATAGGTTTTTCCAAGCTCATAGAATATTACAACACCAAGAGTGGACAGTAGTGTAAACTATGGACTTTGGTTGGTAATGATGTGTCTCTGTAGGTTCATCAGTTGTAAGAATTCTATCACTTTGGTGGGGGAGGGGTTGTCAGTAATGAGAGAAGCTGAGCATGTGTAGGGGATAGTGAAATCTCTGGTCCTTCCCCTCAATTAGTTGAAGTGAGAAGCCAGTAGACAGTAACTTGTATCCATAATAAATAAATAAATGCATAATAAATAAAGAGGAACAGTAAGATAACTAGGTAAATATAAAAGACAGTATAAATATTGATTGGGTTAACCAAAAGGTTCATTTGGTTTTCTTCCATAAGATAGCTCTCATAGCACTTAGTTGTCTTTAATTTCATTCAAAACAATTTTGTTAGATTGTATTGTGACAACTATCATATCAGTGTACTTTTTTTTAAAGTGTGCTTTAAAAACTTATCAAAATTGGTGAATTTTTGTGTAGTCATTTTAATATTGAAGATGGAAGAGTAAAAGCAACATTTTTGACATATTGTGCTTTATTATTTCAAGAAAGGTAATGCAACTAAAAGGCAAAAAAAGAAAAAGATTTGTGTGGTGTATGGAGAATGTACTGTGATCAAATGTGTCAAAAGCAGTTTGTGAAGCTTTGTGCTAGAGATTTCTCGCTGGACAATGCTCCATGGCTGGATAGACCAGTTGAAGTTAATAGTCATCAAATTGAGAACCGTCAGCATTTATACCACACAAGAGATAGTGACATACTCAAAATATCCAAATCAAGCATTGAAAATCCTTTGCACCAGCTTGGTTATGTTAATTGCTTTGACGTTGGAGTTCCACATAAATTAGCAGAGAAGAAACCTTCTTGAATGTATTTCCACCTGTGATTCTCTACTGAAATGTAACAAAAATGTTCTATTTTTAAAACAAATTGTGATTAGTGATCAAAAGTGAATACTGTACAATACTGTGGAATAGAAGAGATGGTTGGTCAAGTGAAATGAACCACTACCATCCACACCAAAGGCCAGTCTTCATCCAGAGAAGGTGATGTGTATATGGTGAGTTTGGAAAGGTATCCTCTATTATGAGTTCCTTCTGGAAGATAAAACAATTAACTCCAACACGTAAGCAGTGTTCAATAAAATGCATCCAGAATTAGTCAATGGAATGTGCATAATCTTCCATCAGGATAATGCAAGACCTCGTGTTTCTTTGATGACCATGCAGAAACTGTTAGAGCTTGGCTAGGAAATTCTGATTCATCTGCCATATTCGCCAAACATTGTAACTTCAGATATTCATTTATTTCAGTTCTTACAAAATTCTTTTAATGAAAAATATTTCAGTTCTTTGGGAGATTGTAAAAGGCACCTCTAACAGTTCTTTGCTCAAAAAGATAAACGTTTTCGTAACATGGAATTATGAAGTTGCCTAGAAAATGGCAGATGGTAATGGAAGAAAACAGTGAATACAAGTTCAATAAAGTTCTTGATGAAAATGAAAAAGTGTCTTCTTTTTATTTAAAAAAATCAAAGGAACTTTTTGGCCAACCCAATGTATGTTTTATTTGTCACTTTTTTTCTTCCCCTTTCATTTGAAAGGCAACCCTGTAAAGCAATAATTATAAATATATGTTGATAAGCACACTGCATAGAAAGTTTGTGTGTGGTTCACCAGAGGAAGCAGAACTACAGAAGAGCATTTTTAATATTTATTTACATTAATATCAATCCAAAAAGGATTGTAATAAGTTAATTATCAATATTATAATAAGTTAATTATTAGAATTTGGACTGCAAGGAGATCCAACCAGTCCGTCCTAAAGGACATCAGTCCTGGGTGTTCATTGTAAGGACTGATGCTGAAGCTGAAACTCCAATACTTTGGCCACCTCATGTGAAGAGTTGACTCATTGGAAAAGTCCCTGATGCTGGGAGGGATTGGGGGCAGGAGGAGAAGTAAATGTCCATCTGGTCAAGGCTATGGTTTTTCCAGTGGTCATGTATGGATGTAAGAGTTGGACTGTGAAGAAACCTGAGTGTCGAAAAATTGATGCTTTTGAACTATGGTGTTGGAGAAGACTCTTGAGTCCCTTGGACTGCAAGGAGGTCCAACCAGTCCATCCTAAAGGAGATCATTCCTGGGTGTTCATTGCAAGGACTGATGCTGAAGCTGAAGCTCCAATACTTTGGCCACCTCATGTGAAGAGTTGACTCATTGGAAAAGTCCCTGATGCTGGGAGGGATTGGGGGCAGGAGGAGAAGGGGACGACAGAGAATGAGATGGCTGGATGGCATCACCAACTCGATGGACATGAGTTTGAGTAAACTCTGGGAGTTGGTGGTGGACAGGGAGGCTTGGCATGCTGCGATTCATAGGGTCGCAAACAGTCAGACACGACTGAGTGACTGAACTGAACTGAATTATTAAAAATAAGTTAATTGTAATAAATATATGGTAAATGAAATAACAAGGAGCTTAAAATAGTATTCTAGACAAAGTTTTGATTTAACACATCATAATGCAGTAAAAAATGGAATAAGGTGGAAGGAGCCACATAAGACATATCCTATTTTTATCAGAAATTATATTACATTTAAATAGTTAAACATTCCACTTGAAAGACAGACACTGACATAATGGGGTAAGAAAAATGGTCTGACTGACATACATCTCTCTCTGAGTGTTTCCCTTTAAATTCCAAGGCAAACAACTGTCATTTCAATTGCTTTTACCCTATAGATAAGGTAATATTTTTCTCTTGCTGTTTTTAAGTTTTTTTTTCACTGTCTTTAACTTCTGGAAGTTTGATTGTATCTTGGTAGGGATTTCTTTAGGTTTATCTTGTTTGGTATTTGCTCTCTTTTCACATGCTAGCAAGGTAATGCTCAAAATCCTTCAAGCTAGGCTTCAAAAGTATGTGAACTGAGAACTTCCAGATGTACAAGCTGGATTTAGAAAAGGCAGAGGAACCAGAGATGTTGGCAGTCAGATTGCCAACATCCGTTAGATCATAGAAAAAGCAAGAGAATTCCAGAAAAACATCTACTTCTGCTTCATTGACTATGCTAAAGCCTTTGACTGTGTGGATCATAACAAACTGTGGAAAATCCTTAAAGAGATGGGAAAACCAGAGTAACTTACCTGCCTCCTGAGAAACCTGTATGCAAGTCAAGAAGCAACAGTTAGAACTGGACATGAAACAATGGGCTGGTTCAAACTTGGGAAAGGAGTACGTCAAGGCTGTATATTGTCACTCTGCTTATTTAACTTATATACAGAGTATATCATGCAAAATGCTGGGCTGGATGAATCACAAGCTGGAATCAAGATTGCCAGGAGAAATATCAACAACCTCATATATGCAGATGATACCACACTAATGGCAAAAAGTGAAGCGGAACTAACCCTTGATGAGGGTGAAAGAGGAGAATGAAAAAGCAAGTTTAAAACTCAGCATTCAAAAAACTGAGATCATGGCATCAGATCCCATCCCTTCATGGCAAATAGATGGGGAAACAGTGATTTTCTTTTTTGGGGTTCCAAAATCACTGCAGACAGTGACTGCAGTCATGAAATTAAAATACACTTGCTCCTTGGATGAAAACCTATGACAAACCTAGACAGCATATTAAAAAGCAGAGATATCACTTTGCTGACAAAGGTACATATAGTCAAAGCCACGGTTTTTCCAGTAGTCATGTGTGGATGTGAGAGCTGAACCGTAAAGAAGGCTGAGTACTGAAGAATTGATGCTTTCAAACTGTAGTGCTGGGGACAACTCTTCATAATCCTTTGAACAGCAAGGAGATCAAACCAGTCAATACTAAAGGAAATCAACCCTGACCTTTCTTTGGAAGGACTGATACTGAAGCTGTAGTACTTTGGCTACCTTAATGCAAAAGCCTGGAAAAGACCCTGATGCTGGGAAAGATTGAGGGCGGGAGAAGAGTGGGGTGACAGATGGTTGGATGGCATCATCAACTCAGTGGACATGAATTTGAGCAAACTCCATGAGATAGTGAAAGACAGAGAAGCCTGGTATACTGCAGTCCATGGGGGTGGCAAAGAGTTTGACATGACTGCCTGAGTGACCACCACCACCACCACCACCACCACCATTTCTTGAATCTGTAGATTGTGTCTCATCAAATTTGGGATGTGTCAGCCATCTTCATGCACTTTTCAAATTTCATCTTTTCATCCATGTCTACAATTACAGATTTATTAGATATTTTAGTCCCATAGGTCCCTGGGCTCTGTTCACTTTTTTTTTTCCAGTTTTTGTTTTCTGTTTATCAAATTGTATAATCTGTGTCTTCCATTTCACTCATTCTTTCACTATTCTGCTATTAGGCCCCTCAATTGAGTTTGTTATTTTGTTCTTCAGTTCCAAGATTTCCATTTGATTTTCCTTTATATCTTCTATTTCTCTGTGGGGACTTTTTATTTTTCATTTATTTCTATCATGTTTGCAGTTGCTCTTTGAAGATGTCTTTTCTTGACGTCTACTTTAAAATCTTTATCAGATAATTCTAATGTCTCTTGATTGTCATCTTATTGACATCTGCTGATTGTCTTTTAGATTCAGTTTGAAAAAAAAAATAGATTCAGTTTGTCTTTTTAGATTAATATTCTCATCTCTTTGTCTGGTGAGTGGTCAATAGGAAGCTAAACCGTTTAGCTTGTTTGTTATGAGACTGAGTCTTATTTGAACTTTGTATTTAGCTGGCTCTCAGATACCACTCTTGTAGAAGAAGGAGGGGAAAGCTTTGTTACTTTCATCTGAATGTAGATTTCCCTGCTTACCTTCTATCACACGGGAGAGGAGGAAGGAAGATCTGGGTCAAGGTGGGATTCCTCCTCCCCGCCTGCTGAGTCTCCTGCTACCATCCTGCCTTCTTGAACCTCATTACTCCACTCCACATGGCCTTCACTAGCAATATGTGTGTGTGTGTCATAACTGCTGGGCAGTGGTTAAAATTCTTACTCTCTGTCATATGCTTTGTGACATCATTCCAAGGAAGAGGAAGGGAGATGGGGGAGGGGGAGGGGATGGTTGTTGTCTCTACTGCCAGGTGAGGCTAGAAGTCCAGGATCCCCACATGGTCTTCAGTGTGTGATTGGACATAGCTTATTAAACGAAAGTCACTGCTCCCAAACTGGCCTTCTCTGACCTAACCGTGGTGGGAGTGCTAGGGTGCCTTGTTATAGCCTGAAGACGGTAAAAGTCTGGTGTTTGTGGACCTGGTTAATCATGGGGCCATCTTTTTTTCCATGGTGTTTGGGTAAAGTGTCTGTTACATAAAACTAAATTTTTCTAGGATGCTTGTTTCCTGGCTTTTTGATTAGAGATAACAGGCTTTTGTTGCCACTTTTTTTGTCTGCGCCTGATCCCTTTCTGGGTGGCCAGCTTCTTTGTTTCTAAGTCTGGAACATACAAACCAAAAAGAAAATCCAGAAGGTTCACTGCAGTGTTGTCTCTTGACTCCTGAGGCTTCCTTTGCACTTTTTAGAGTCGTCTTATATTTGATTTATGTATACCATCTAAGGGGTTTAGTTGTTTTTCATTGTATTTAGTGATAGGGATAGGGAAAATTATATCTACTCTGTCTGGAACCCATGCATTCTTATTGCTCTTGAAATGATCATTTAAAAATTCTATAATAAGTCAAAATATAGTATTGAAACAAAATGAAATCAAGATGTAGTTAAGATGGATTTAAAATCATAACTCCAACAGTAATGTTTATCTTAAGGTCACTATTACATCCTTCCTGTATTTTTCTTAGTAAAGTAGGTTGACTATAAGAGAAAATTTTCACAGAGAGGTTCAGTATTGAAATAATCAGTCAGACCATATTCATGACTGGAGATGAGAGATAATGACATCACAGAACAGAATTTAAACAACTCTTAAAACAACTAACTTGGAGAAGGAAATGGCAACCCACTCCAGTATTCTTTCCTGGAGAATTCCATGGATAGAGGAGCCTGGCAGGCTCCATGGGGTTGCAAAGAGTCGGACACAACTGAGCAACTATCACTTAACAGTTAACTAATGCTATTATAAGTACAGTTTTATGGGATGCTTTTCTCCCACTTAATTGTTTTATTGTGTTATTCACATGACTGTATTCTTTTGAAAATATTTTAATAATTACATAGTGTTTCCTTTCATGGATATGCCACAACTTATTATTTGTTACTTAGCTCTTTATAATAGTGTTGGCACTATAACATTTTTGAACTTTGATGTTTATTCCAATGTCTGATTATTTCTTTAGGATCATTTCTTAGGTATAGAATTTAGCCCCAAAAGTTAATATATGTTTTTAAGTTTCTTGACCTAAAGTAACTTAAAAGTTGCTATGAAGAAAGTATGTATTAGTTTATACATTGACTCATAGTGTTGGAAAAGGCTTGTTTCAATAAACCCTCATCAGCTCTGAGGCTTTTTGTTTTAAAATACTTAACAGGTGACTTGGTTTATTATACATACACCTTTGTATGTTACAGATTTAAGGAAGTGGTCTACAGTTGTGGGAGCCATTTCTTTTGCTTTCTCAGCATCGTTTTCTACTATCTATCTGTGGTGAAAAATCCGTGAACCCACACCCAGAGGAGGAAGAAACCAGAAGTGGAAATGTAGCAGCAGTTGGCAGTTCAGTGCATTATTTATGATTGTGATGTTAGAATTAATCCAGTGAGATGAGAGAAGGCCAACATATCGAATGCCATTCTGTCACTTGTTTTCCCATTGGATATTTTGAGGATCCTCATTTGGCTATTTGCAGCCAAAGCAGTGCTTTCTATTCATATTTTTTTTATAATATTAGTCCTATCCTCTTTATCCATCCATTTATTAGACAAGATTTTCATTCTTACTAGTGTGTTGTATTCAGTTTGCAAGACCCAGGAGAGAAGGTGTGTTCTTTACTATCTTAAAATCATTTCCCAGTGCCTCTCTGATGCAGAGGGGAATGACCTCAAACTCCTGGTGAAGAAGCTTAGTGGGCTCTTGGGAAACTCTCCTAAAGGCAGAGGGGTAGGTGAGACCCAGGGCATGAGGCTACTCAGCAGAGGTTCAGTTCAGTTCAGTTCAGTTGCTCGGTCATGTCCGAATCTTTGCGACCCCATGGACTGCAGCACGCCATGCTTCCCTGTCCATCACTAACTCCTGGAGCTTGCTGAAACTCATACCTGTCTAGTCGGTGATGCCATCCAACCATCACATCCTCTGTCATCCCCTTCTCCTCCTGCCTTCAATCTTTCCCAGCATCAGGGTCTTTTCTAATGAGTCAGCTCTTCACATCAGGTAACCAAAGTATTGGAGCCTCAGCTTCAGCCTCAGTCTTTCCAGTGAATATTCAAGATTGATTTCCTTTAGGATTGATTGATTTGACCTCCTTGCAGTCCAAGGGACTCTCAAGAATCTTCCCCAGCACTTCAGTTCAAAAGCACTGAAGTTCCTTCAGCACTTAGCCTTCTTTATGGTCCAGCTCTCACATCCATACATGACTGCTGGGAAAACCATAGCTTTGATTATATGGACTTTGTTAGCAAAGTGATGTCTCTGCTTTTTAATACACTGTCTAGGTTTGTCATAGGTTTTCTTCCCAGGAGCAAGCATCTTTTAGTTTCATGGCTGCAGTCACCCTCCGCAGTGATTTTGGAGCCCAAGAAAGTCTGTCACTGTTTCCACTTTTTCCCTATTTGCCATGAAGTGATGGTACCGGTTGACATGATCTTTGTTTTTTGAATGTTGAGTTTTAAGCCCTCTTTTTCATTCTCTTCTTCCGCCTTCATCAAGAGGCTCTTTATTCCTCTTCACTTCCTGCCACTAGGGTAGTGTCATCTGCATATCTGAGGTTACTGATATTTCTTTCACAATCTTGATTCCAGCTTGTGATTCACCTAGCCTGCATTTTCATGATATACTCTGCATAGAAATTAAATAAGCAGGGTGAACGTGTACAGCCTTGACATACTCCTTTCCCAATTTGGAACCAGTCAGTTGTTCCATATAAGGTTCTTTTTTTTTTTCCCCCCATTTATTTTTATTAGTTGGAGGCTAATTACTCTACAGTATTGTAGTGGTTTTTGCCATACATTGACATGAATCAGCCATGGATTTACATGTGTTCCCCATCCCGATCCCCCTTCCTGCCTCCTTCTCCATCCCATCCCTCTGGGTCTTCCCAGTGCACCAGTCCTGAGCACTTGTCTCATGCATCCAACCTGGGCTGGTAATCTGTTTCACCCTTGATAGTATACTTGTTTCAATACTGTTCTCTCTGAACATCCCACCCTCGCCTTCTCCCACAGAGTCTAAAAGTCTGTTCTGTACATCTGTGTCTCTATTTCTGTTTTGCATATAGGGTTATCATTACCATCTTTTTAAATTCCATATATATACGTTAGTATACTGTATTGGTCTTTATCTTTCTGGCTTACTTCACTCTGTATAATGTCTCCAGTTTCATCTATCTCATTAGAACTGATTCAAATGAATTCTTTTTAATGGCTGAGTAATATTCCATAGTGTCTATGTACCACAGCTTCCTTATCTGTTTGTCTGCTGATGGGCATCTAGGTTGTTTCCATGTCCTGGCTGTTATAAACAGTGCTGTGATGAACATTGGGGTACACGTGTCTCTTTCAGATCTGGTTTCACAATTTGTATGGAAATACAAAAAACCTCAAATAGCCAAAGCAATCTTTTTTTTTAAATTTAATATTATTTTATTTATTATTTTATTTAATTAATTTAATTAATCAATTATTAATTAGTTAATTTAATATTTAATATTATTTTATTTATACTGTGTATCTCTCTCACTTCAGTTTAGTCACTCAGTCATATCTGACACTTTGTGACCCCATGGACTGCAGCAGAACAGGCTCCCTGTCCATCACCAACACCCAAAGCTTACTCAAACTTTTGTCCATTGAACCAGTGATGCCATCCTACCTTCTCATCCTCTGTCATCCCCTTCTCCTCCTGCCTTCAATCTTTCCCAGCATCAGGGTCTTTTCAGATAGGTCAGTTCTTTGAATCAGGTGGCCAAAGTATTGGAGTTTCAGATTCAAAATTGTCCTTCCAATGAATGTTCAGGACTAACTTACTTTAGGATTGACTGGTTGGATCTCCTTGCAGTCCAAGGGACTCTCCAGAGTCTTCTCCAACACCACAGTTCAAAAGCATCAATTTGTTGGAGCTCAGCTTTCTTTAGAGCCCAACTCTTACATCCATACATGACTACTGGAAAAACCATAGGTTTACTAGACAGACCTTATTCGGCAAAGAAATGTCTCTGCTTTTTAATATGCTGTCTAGGATTATCATAGCTTTTCCTCCAAGGAGAAAGTATCTTTTAATATCATAGCTGTAGTCACCATCTGCAGTGATTTGGAACCCAAAAAATAAAGTCTCTCACTGTTTCCATGCTTCCCCATCTATTTGCCATGACATGATGGGACCAGATACGATGATCTTAGTTTTCTGAATGTTGAGTTTTAAGCCAGCTTTTCCACTCTCCCCTTTCGCTTTCATCAAGAGGCTCTTTAGTTCTTCACTTTCCAAAGCAATCTTGAGAAAGAAGAATGGAACTGGAGGAATCAACCTGCCTGACTTCAGGCTCTACTATAAAGCTGCAGTCATCAAGACAGTATGGTAATGGCACAAAGACAGAAATATAGATCGGTGGAACAAAATAGAAATCTCAGAGATAAATCCACGTACCTATGGACACCTTATCTTCAACAACGGAGGCAAGAATATACAATGGAAAAAAGACAACCTCTTTAACAAGTGGTGCTGGGGAAATTGGTCAACCACTTGTAAAAGAATGAAACTAGGACATTTTCTAACACCATACACAAAAATAAACTCAAAATGGATTAAAGATCTAAATGTAAGACCGGAAACTATAAAACTAGAGGAGAACATAGGCAAAACACTCTCCAACATAAATCACAGCAATATCCTCTATGACCCACCTCCCAGAATATTGGAAATAAAAGCAAAAATAAACAAAT